GGCCTCTTCAATGTCATTACCCGTGACCACAATGTCATCAACATAAACAATCAAGAAGGTCACCAGAGAGTCATTTTTCTTTAAGAATAGTGTATGATCAGATTGTGTTTGAATGTAGGCAAATGAGACGAGCAGCCCAAAATCTCTCAAACCAGGCCCGAGGAGATTGTTTGAGACCATAAATAGATCTATGTAGTTTACACACTTTGCCTTTCATTTCTTTCCCATACACTCGTGGAGGTAGAGACATATAGACCTCTTCATGTAGGTGTCTCCATTCAGGAAGGCATTTTTAACATCAAATTGGTGTAAGGGCCAGTCAAAAGTAGCTGTTAGAGAAAGTAAAACCTGACTGAAGTCATCTTAGCAATAGGAGCAAATGTCTCAAGATAGTCAATGGCATACATTTGGGTGTAACCCTTAGCAACCAATCGAGCCTTAAATCTTTCAACAGAGCCATCAAAGTGATACTTAATGGTAAACACCCATTTACAACCCACTGGTTCCTTCCCTTCTGGCAAGTCCACATTATCCCAGGTATGGTTCTTATGCAATGCATCAAGTTCAGTCATCATAGCATCCCTCCGTTCAGCTTGAGATAATGCTTCCGGTACAAACCTGAGTATCACATGGGAAGACACAGAGGCAAGAAAGGAGTAGTAGGAAGGGGAGAGAAGGCTGTAAGATAAGTGTTTGGAGATACAATGGGCTGTGCACTTCCGCTTGCCCTTGCAAAGAGCAATAGGAAGGTCAAGGTCTGGGACAGTCAGAGATGGGTCAGTAGTGGGCTGACCTGTTTCCTCAGGAATGATGGAGTGGCAAGACGCTCTTCTGGAGGAGTGGAAACAACCTGCATATGTTTGAATCTTTGCTTTTGGTATCACCTTTGGAGAGTAGGAGCAGAAGGAGGAGGAGGAGCTGGGATGTCAGAGGTAGGTCCAGTTGAAGAGGTGGACACCCCATGATTGGACTCACAAGGGACGGGAAGAGGAACAGTTGGAGACACAACAAAGGGCTCATCAGATTTCTCCCCCTCAGGAGGAATATTAAAGAAGGGAGTCAACTTGGCAAAAGTGACATCCCGAGATACAAAGCGGGTGCCACAAACTGGATCAAAACAGCAATAACCCTTCCGTGTGGAGGCATATCCCAGAAACACACACTTATGAGCCTTAGGTTCAAAGTTGTGCCTTTGGTGACTATGAATATGCCCATAGCAAGTACATCCAAACACACGGAGAGGAAGAGAAAAGAGATCCTCATCCGGGAAGAGAAGACTAAAAGGAGTTTTAAAGCCAAGGACCGAGGAGGGCATACGGTTGATCAGAAAGGTAGCAGTAAGAATAACATCTCCCCAAAACTTTACAGGAACATGAGATGCAAACAAGAGGGATCTGGCAACCTCAACCACATGCCTGCTCTTTCTTTCCGCCACCTCGTTTTGTTGTGGAGTGTAGGAACAAGAACTTTGATGAATAACCCCAAAAGTTTCAAGATAGGTGGAGAGGGTTCTCTCAAAATACTCCTTARCATTGTCAGAGCGGAATATTTTGATACGAGTATTAAACTGGGTGAGGATGAGTTCATGAAAATTTTTCACAATAGCT